TACATCAACCTAAATGCCTCAGCAACAGGCAGACTATTAAGACCCAAACATTTAATGTTTTATGAGCTGTCATGATTTTTTAAAACCTAAATCACTTGATGTGTGATTCCTGGATGTTTGAGGTTGCCAACACTTACATCTTAATGAAGTGGCTCCCAACCTTGGGGTCACAACAGTAAAAAATGGGGTCACAATCACAGATTTTCTCTGGCAGAATTACAGCCTGCAAGGGGCTGCTTGGGGCTGGGGAGGGTGATCAGGCAGGGGGCACCACGTATGCATGTGGCAGCCAGGCAGTATGCACAGCAGCTCCCACAGCTCCCTCCACACAAGTCTGGGGGTGGCGAGGCAGATTGAGGCCCCCCGGTGAGGCTCATTTAGGGTGCTATGAGGTGCTGGCTCCCCGCTGCTGCATGCATTCCCAGGGAGGGAGGCACGGAGGGTGGGGATTATGTGTGTGGCAGGGATGGATGTGGGCTGCTGGCTGCAGGCTCGGGGCTCTCTGCCCTGCTGTCCTCCCCCTACGGCCTCTACAACACAGTGGGGCAGGGAGACTCAGTGCTGCTGCTGGGAGCCCCAAGCTGGCCAGTCCACCACCATGGCAAGGCCAACCCTGCTCACCTGGTAGCAATGGGGGGCACAACTCAGTGCCACCGCTGCTGCCAGGTGGGCTGGGGGCACCTCACCACGGCAGCACAGACGGCATGGGGCTTCCAGCCGTCCTGCTCCAGGTCCCACCTGCTGAGCCATGGAGGCCCTTGCGGGGAGGGCAGGGAGCCCTGAGCCCACAGCAGGCAGCACACATCCTCCCTGCTCATGGTCTCCACTCCAGCTATGCCATGTGGGGAGAGGGGCAAGCTGAGGGAGCTGGGCTCCACACTCTCAGCAGCCAGGGCTTGGGCACTGCTTGGGGGTGGGCAGGGGGCAATGGGCTCTGGCTCTGGTCCTGTAGCCCTGACTGCTAGGGGCCCCCTTGGGCAGGGCTGGGGGTGGTCAGGGGGCTGCAGGTCATCAGTGAGGGGCACCAGCAGGGCTGGGAGAGGTGAGGGGCACTGACAGAGTCAGGGGGCTACGGATGGGGATGGGCACCTGGGGGGATTGCGGGGCCATGCTCAGGAAATGGGGTCATAAATGGGGTCATGCTGAAGAAAAGGTTGGGAATTGCTGCCTTAGCACCTCCTAAGTATGGAAATGTGTTGCTTCTGCCTGTAGCCACTTGTTCAAACTCTAACATAATAACAGTCCTCGGCAGCTGCAGCACTCTCATGAGGACAGTTAACAGGTAGTCTGGCATTTGTTACCTGGCAGAGAACTGAACCTGATCTACACCTACAAAGCATCTACACCACAGTTGTTTCAGAAAATCAGTTAGTTTCTTCCATGTAATGATGAAAACATATTTAGAGTTATGTAATTCTTGTTTAAAAAAGAAAAATAGCATAACAGGTCTGGTCTTCTACAGCCAACAGACTTTAATTAGTAATTTTGGATAGGCTTTGTTTAGCCTGGGCGGTTACGGCTTGTTTATGTGCATCTGTGTCTGTTTTTGTACGTATGGGATACGTGGCTGTCCCTGAAGAATGAAAACATCGGCTAATGCCATAACTAAGTATGAGGATAGCTGGAATTACTTTCTGTCCAAAATATTTATGATCGCAAGTCTATGCTCTGACTAGGCATAAACTAAAAACCGATTCCAGCATCTCCTCACCAGTCTCAGCAAAGTACAGCCCAAAGGATAAATTATACAACAGAGGGAAAAATGTAAATACCATGACCTTCACTTTTTATGGTCACTTTAAATGGAATATTTCCATTATAGCTAGTCAAAATATTAGTTTAATGAATTTAGCCCTTTTCTTGCCCATAGATTAGGATTATACACATACGCTTATTATGCAGATTTTTTCAAACAGTATTTACAAACAAAGTTGAGCTCTGGTTGTGTGAAAATTTGCTCAATCTGGCATGTTCGACCAATTACGTAATATTTGGAATTTGCTATGCAAGCTTTATGTCTGGTCACCTAACCACATGATGTTATTTATGCTCCTCGATCAGATGACTTAATTGTATGTTTTTGCCTTTCATTTCCTGATTAAATGGATCTCCTCCCATTATTCCAATATTCACTGATTGTTGATCTCAACATAGACAACACTGTGATGTGCACATGGCACCAAGAGTCAAAGGTATAGCGGTGAAAATAGGGTGAATCAAACTTAGGTTTCTAATTCAGCAAACTGTTCGATAAGGTGCCAAAATTTGCTCTTTCAGTATTTACAGGCTAGGTTCAAATCTCAATTATGTTGGGATCTGCCCCTTTGGATTATGATGAAGTCTCTTACTGTCTGAGCTCTGCTAGCTCGACTGTCTCCACTGTGGAACAGGCTGCCCAGGAGAGTGGTGTAATCTTTGCTGGAGGTTTTCAAGAGGAGGCTGGCTAGGCATTGGCCAGCAACACAGTGGCATATAGGGCAGGGAGCAGAAAGCAGCGGAAGGGGATCAGAATGATACTTAGAGAGGGTGCAGGGCTTAGCTAGTGGCATGCCTGCCAAAAAAGTTGGCCTCCACTGCCTTCGGCACTACCCTTAATTAGTACTGTCAACATTTCTCACATGCTTTTGCACTTCAACATTCAGCTGAACCTAACTCTCTCCATTTTTTTTTCTTTTTTTATACAAAGAAGCTGAAATAAGATTTTTCCCACCTTTTTTTCTATTAACACGAGTAAGCAGCAGCTGATTCAACCCCAACATCTTCTGAAAGATGATGATATAGAAATAATGCTCCCCGTGTCATGTCTAGGTTTAGTTCAAATTACGAGGGAAAATTATTCAGCAGCAATTTTTGAAGGCTTCAAGATCCTGTCCTCAGTTAAACCCAAGCAGCTCCATTGCTTTCGGTGACCCTAAATGTTTATTTCTATTTTGGACTCCATAATCCTCATCACAGCTATGGAAGCCAAGCAAGTGTGATTTAATAACTGAAGCAGATGGAAAGATACAAGACTAGGGTCCTATTGTAAAATAAAGAAAAATGAAGGACAGAAAGGCAGAACAATAAGATTCATCAGTAAAACAGTCTCTCCAGTTAAAGTTTCATAGATTTTTTGCATAAAGCATCAATCCATCTTTAAAAACTCAAACCAGGACCTGAAATGTGCTAATACTTCACACTGTGTCAGATGCACAGAACCAAATGGTTCTCATTTCCACTAACAGGCATTTCACAACGAGGTTTCCAACAGAGACCCTCTCGGGTAAAACATGCTCTACATTGCGGGCATCTCCCAGGCTTTTCTCTCTAGTAGAAACTCCATCGATACTGGATTAGGTGGTGAGAGCACCAATCCCCATCAGGAACTGGCAGAAAGCACCGACTCCCAGGTGTCCATCCTCCTTTCCTGCATGTGATTCTTTTTCCTCCTAGTTCTGTGAATCTACACATGCACACATCTATGTTCTAATTTCTACTCATTTGTGGGTGACTCTGTACCTTTCCTTCCCCATTTCTCACTAAGCTTGATGCTGCTCAATGTGGAAATGTCCCCCATTGGATGCACAGAGCAGTCACATGTGCCATCAAACCTGGTTGTGATGGGACTGGAATTGGGAAGCCTCAGCTACTGGGATAGAGCCTGACCCTTTGCCCCCTGGATGAGACCTTTCCCTAAGCCTTCCTGCATTAGAGGTCATTGCAGCAGCAGGGTCTGGCAATAAGCGGTGTCCAATGTGTTATGCAAGACTTCAGGAGCTCATTCCTGGGGGGGAAAAGATGGAGAGGGTGGAAGGTCATGGAGCCCTTCCCACTGCTGCTGCTCTTTTCTCCCACCTGGTGCCCTCGATGGACAACTCTACATAGATTTCATAGACGTTAGGGCTGGAAGATCGAGTCCAGGCCCCTGCCCCAGGGGCAGGAAGTCAGCTAGGGTCAAAGGATCCCAGCAAGATAGGTGTCCAACTCTTGTGACACCCCGATCCAAGCTTACAATCACTGTGTCTGCTTTCCCTTTTCAAATGGATCCTACAGAAGGCCCTACAACTGAAAGACTGCTGTTTGTTTCCTGTATCGCTTCCCCAAATCCACTTCTCAGATCAGTTCTGTATCCCTGGACACGTCTGTACCACTTTCACAGTGGTTGTGAGAGTGCCCCAACCAACCTGCCCCCACCTACCTGCTTGCACTGTGCACAGACCACATGAGGACAGGAGAGGGAGGCTGAACCTAGGGCTCTTGGTCGCAGTTCTCAATCAGGCAGGAGCCAAAGAGGCTTCACTGCCTCTCTGAAACCTGTTTCATATTACTAGGTTTCCCAGATTGGTGTTGGAGGAAGGGGAATGTGTTTCCTCCCGGTACTTTCAGCAGTACCATGGGAATGGTATCGACCTGCCCACTGACTGCCACTGCAAAGCGAATTGCATGTGGTCAAGTATGCCCACCACGTTATAGTAGGTAAATACCCCATTGACAGAATTAAGGGATGGGCCTGATGACTCAGTGGCCAACATAATAAGGGACAACTAGGACATTTTTCAGCTCCCCTGCAGCACCACAATGAAGTGTCCCTTGTGCCAGTGTCCTGCACAATATGGCTATGTCAGTCCATTCCTTTTTGTCTGCTCCATAAAAACAGGGCACTGCCTGCATTAGTAAAGTAATAGTGATTGATGTTATTATTGCTGGATCTGGATTGTGCTTGCAAGCTATGAAAATAGTTTTAAAGTAAAAATGACCACAAGACAGGCAGCCCACGGCAGGAAGAATAGCAGTGCAAAAACCAGCACAGCGAGCTGACCCACAAAGGCAGGGGAACATGAAAACGAGATGGGAAGACAATGCAGGGAATTTCCCAGCTGTCACACATCAGAATTGTGCACAAACAGGCAGCGAGACAAAGCAAGCTAGCTTGTTAACAGCTCCTTCCACATCTGAAATGTTTTTGCTAAAGGGCAACAGTTTTGGCAAGAAAGACCTTATAAATTAAAAAGGAGTCAAACCTTATAGACTTGTCCATACGTCCCGTTTCCAACAACTTGCACCAGTTCAAATATCCCTGCCGGATCCTGTAAAAAGTACAGTAAATACTGTTATTTGTGGCAAAGTGTCTGCTGACTTGTCTCAAGGAAGCACTGCAGTCCACAAGCAGGATTTTAAAAGTCCAATAGTTTTTGCCTAAGATTTCTATTACAGTCTAAGAGAATAACCAAACAATAATAAAACATAATAAAATAATATAATTCATAATGCATTTCTAGTAGAGGTTTTAGCTTAGAACCTAGCAGCAGGCTACATAAGTAGATATGAAGAACACACTGAATGACTTGCCCAAGGTCATATCATAATTTATTGGCAAATCCAGGAATAAAACCTAGAAGTTCAGTACTTCAGTTCTAAACACTGAATATGGCTGGGGGATTCATTTAAGCTCTTGTCTTCTGTTATGAAATAGTTTAGTTAGTAGCACACACAAACAGAAAGAACCCACATTATAAAATATTCAGAAAACTCATATGCAGCATCTGTGTTTCATTACATCTCGAGTCAGGAGATACACCATCACCAAAAATACCCGCAAGACTATTTCTGTCTCAAATGTATGCTATCCTGTTTTACAACCGCAACAAGGTGGACTGGATAGGACAGGGAATAAAGAGATTTTATGCCTGATACCCTTGGGCACACTGATCATACTGAGATCATTTACAGTTTCCCTGCTTGAAAGAACAGACTTGTAGCAGACTGTGGACAAGCAAGTATCCATTCCTGCGGAGCGAAGAAACCTGTTGCTTCAGTGAAAATTCACCTGAGAAATTTATAGAAAACTTTAAAAAAAATCAAGAGACTTGTTTCAAGAGGCTGAGCAATTTAGTAATGCTATTTCATTCCTTTGGATGATGTCAGGAACAAAGTAATATAAAATATTACTAGGTGTATCTGTTTCATGTCACCTGTTTTAGCAACATGTCATGTGAGATATCTATCGATATCACTGGGGGACATGACACAAAGAACCATTAGTTATTTCAAAACTCCAGTATTTGCGGCTCTGGCTAGAAAACATCCTTGTCTATCATCAAAATAATGTGCATCTGGTAGAAAATTATTTTAAGCAAATCTTATTATTTTGACACAAGCATTATCTACCTGGTGCCTCCTCCTCCATTATTTACTCAGGCAAAATCCTCTCAGAAATGAACTTGTCTTTTTATGAGTGAAAGGATCAGAGTTAGGCCTGTTTCTAATAATAGTGATTGTGATCAGTAGGCAGTAGATTTCATAATGCAACATGGCCTTCTACAGCTGTCTGAATGTAGACACATAGCTCAAGTCCTCTATATATTCATATATTCTTCATATTCAGAAAGATCTATTTTTATCCTGCTTGGATTCTCCGTGTTCGTTAACATTAGTTCTGAACTCACTCAACTTCAGTCCCTGGAAGTGAAAAGGTTTTTAACTTTCCAGAACTCCAACTGCCCTTGAATCTTTTTCATTTAACGAAGGTGGAAACAAGTTAAATTTTCCACGTTTCTACCTGTGCCCATGCTCATCTAAGAAAGGTCTCTTTTTATCTGATTTCTGAAGTACAACACAGCTTGAATTTGGCCTTTTTAGGCCTAAATGCCAATTTTGCAAATTCATCAACAAATGCTGATCAATGGGATTACTTATGTGTGTTGCAACTGGGTCCTTGCAAAGAGCTTCAGTTCTTTAACCCCAGCATTCGTTTTTCATTTCCATTTGCCTGCCATGAGCTATCGTTCTCCTTTCACAAAACCCGGCCTCAGCAATAATCCACTGCCAGTGATAGCTCTACGGCAGTATTTTACATCGGGTTTTACATGCTGCTGTGCTGCAGCTCCCAGGGAGGGAGGTCCTTTATGCAACGTGCACAACAGAGACCCCTCTAAGAAACTAGACCAAGTGCCCTTGGTGTGTAGAATAAGCACGGGTGAATGGCACATGGAAATCTGGATGAAGCCAAGTTACAGCTCTGTGCATGTGTTAGGACCCCACATACATCAATGTCAAAACCAGCTTTGCCCAGAGGACCATAAACAGAGGAGCTGAGTGTTTGTACAGCTGCAAACTTGTCTAAGGTGGATATGCCTCAAAACTAGCTTTAACCGCCAGTTTCTCCGTTTTGACCCACTGTTCCCAATCATCACGTATGCAAAGGCTTCAGGCACCCATGGAGAGGCCTAAGCGAGTGGCTAAAGGCTTCCACCGTTTCAAGACGTGTTGTCATTACATTTGATTCAGCAAAAGAAAAAAGAAAAGAAGCCTGGTCTACTGCCATTAGCAGCTAATCAGATCTGTTCCATGTTTCCAATGAATTGATTGCAGCCAGTACGCTTGGCCATTGCTCATCTTCTAATCAAAACTCAGTACTAAACTTGGTCTTGCTACAGTCAGAAATGATATTACACTGAGCTCTGACTTAGGTCCTTGTACTGTCCTTGTTTGGTTGGACATCAGCACTGCAGCCTCAGCTGCTACGTTATGGCAAAGTCCTCACATGGGGGCAAGCTCTTAATTGTCTCAGAGTTAGGCATCAGCTTTGATGTAGTGTTTCCTCTCAGCTAACATTTTAAGTCCCCTGGTCCATATAACCCTCCACCATCTAGCCACTGCCAGGTTGCTTTGCTTCCTCTGACAGGTGCCAAAATCCTGACCCAAGCATTCATCACTTTGAGGTTAATTACTGTAATGCACTGTACCATATGCTGGTCCTCTTGCTCTCCTTTATCATCTGCAGGGTGTTCAAAACGGGAACGGCAATACTACTGACCTGGAGGTCACCCAGGCCACACAACTCCTCTATAGGGCACCATGAAAAATGCTGCACACAACAGGAAACTCACTGAAATGGACTTTTCACACATTCAGCAACTTGATTTTTGCAACTCTGACTTTTCTGTCAGGTCTATGCACCTCTTAACACAAACCAAAAATTAAAGGAGTTTTAGCTGGCTAGATGCCTTGATGCAACCAACTTGGAAGGGTCTATAATTGCCATTGCCTGCATTGTCACAGAACTTGGACCCCCTAAACTAGCAGCCAGGTGTGGCAGCCAAACAGTAGCAGGACTCACCCAGGCGCTCCCTGCATAGTTAGGATGCTTGGCCCAGATGTCTATGGAAGAAAGGGGCTCTGGTGGAGGGCTTAACAGACTCGGGTGGTGGGGCTAACACCAAAGGATTCAGGGCACATCCCAGCAGAAGCTATCTCCACCTGCCTGGAGACCTTGTGCCTCTGCATTTGTTCTAGCCATCCCCATCACTGCCTCTCCTCACAGCAGCTTGGTATCTCGAAATCCCACATAGCTGCCATCACTGCTCCTGAAATCCCATATAGCCTTGGCCATCACTGACTAACGGGGGCTTTAACATGCCAAAGTTACTAGGGCCATATTGCTGACTTTTATTTTTGCCAGGGGGAGCCTAAGATGATGGACATGCGACAGCCCTCTTCTACGGTGACCACTTTTGAAAGGCGGGACACATGTCAACCTCCCCCCGCCCCCAACCATACGGCTGGAGCAGAGCCAAGTGGAGCCTGTAGGGGCGCAGGGGTGGATGTGGGCTGCCCGCTGAGGGCTTGGGACTTCCCACCCTGCTGCCCTCCCCCTGAGAGCCCTGTGCCGGCGGTGCCGCCATAGCAAGGTACCCCCTGCCTGCCCAGCTGCAGCAGGGGACACAAGTTTGCACCACTGCTCCCCACTGCTGCCAGGCAGGCAGGGGCACCGTGTGTTCCCCTATTTCCCCCTCCCTGGAAGTGCATACAGTGGCAGGGAGCCAACCCCCCTCTGCCCCCTGGACAAGCTAT